ACAGAGATGCCTTAGATAGAGACAGAGATGATGACATGGAGTGATGAAGCGACTGGAGACTTTGGACCCAGAGAGGGAAAGGGACTGTGGGCCGAAAACTGGGGGGAGGAGGGAGAATTGTAGGGGGCGGGTTTCTGGGATATACCCTTTGGGTGGTTGATGATGCATGGAGTGGATTGGAACCATGGCAATGAGATGATATACTATGGAATGAATGTAAAACTAAAGGTCTCCCATGTAAACTATCATATAATTCACAATAAAACATTAAAAAAAAAAAATTTGTAGGTTAGTCAAAACAAGTGCATACAGTTCTTATTTAGCCTCATTTTATTGCAAGAAAATGCTCCAAGTCTTTTCAATTATTTAAAAGCTACATGTGCATCAGGTGAAGTTGACTGTGATGGAGAATATGTTTCAAGTAGACATTGGTTCAATTTCAAACTGAGAACACAATTACATAACATTAAAAGGCAGGTAGGAATTATCTTTAAGTCAGGATGTTCATAACTAAGGACTGCCAGTATTCACTTTGCTTTGAAAAGAAAAACTGCTCAAAGAATAGATTTTTTAAAGGCTCCTCATTAATACAACTGTGGTCCTACTCTGTCAACACTGAACTTGCATAGGTATATAGGTATTAATGGTTATTAATAAACTACACAGATTAAACTTACCTTTCTATATCTATTGTAAAGCTGTCTTGTGGGTCTAGGTTTAGTCATTCCAGGGCTGGCTGAACAGGCCAAAAATTTTACTACCATTTCTTAACATTTTAAAGTAGTTGGATGCTTACATGTGACTTGATTCTTTGTGATTACAGAGACCCAGCAGGTTACCAAATTTCATCAGCTTTGTCCCATCCACTGACAACTTACCACAACTTTATTGAAGTCCTGGATTGCAAAATACAGGGCAATAGCAGTGAGGGCATCAGTTATCTGTTAAGAGAAAGAAAAACAATAATAATAGACCCCAATTAAGATAGGAATAATGGAATGCTGCCAGGATCTGGAGTATTTGGGTGGCAATGGACTACCCAGCACTGAACTTTTACAAAGTCAAGCAGAACCTCGATTCTTTACTCATCTTTGACCAGCCAAACATAAGATCTTGACATAGCTCTAACTGTAAAACAGTGAGGATTAGTGTGACGCTGTATGATAAACACTGGACTGTTAACCACAAGGTCAACATTTCAAACCTAGTAGCCACTCCTCAGAAAACCTACACAGGGTTGCTATGCCTCAGAACCAACTCAATCAATGGTACTTAACAACAGCAACAGGCCCACTTCAGAATGGCCTCCCGTATCTGCTCTAACTGCAAGTTATTTAAGTATTCTCTGAAATGAAACTAATACCTAATGCTTTGCAAACTTGATAAATATCAAGTGCTTATTAGCACACAGTAAGTCATTAATTTTTATGAAAGATCTCAGTGGATCTCCTTGGTATTTCTTAAGCCAGATTTTCAATTCTAGATTAGGCAAGTGTCTAAAATTATGATGCTTCTCAAAACACAGCCCTGTCATCTCAATTTTGTAGAGTTTTGCTCCTGAAAGTATCATCACATGTTATGCTTTCTTACATAATGATTCCTAGAATCTCTTGGTGGAATGCTAATGAAATTCAGGATTCTCTCCACACAAGCACCATAATTAACGCAATCATAAAATCTTGACGCTAAAAAGTCCTCACAACCGGATCAATAAATAACATCACTATAAACAGAGAAAAGATTGAAATGATCAAAGACTGCGTTTTGCTTGGATCCACATCAATGTTCATGAAAGCAACAGTCAATAAATCAAATGATGTATCCCATTAGGCAATTCTGCTGCAAAAGACCTCTTTAAAATGTTAAAGAGCAACGAGATCATTTTGAGGACTAAGGGGAACTTGAACAAGGTATTTTCAATTGCCGCATACACATGTGAAAATTAAACAATGAATAAGGATGAATTTAGAAGAACTGATGACTGTGAATTACGGTGTTTAAAGAGATCTTTTGCAGATTTGCCTAGTGCAAAACATCACTTAATTTCTTAACTGTTGGTTCCATGAACTTTGATTGTAGATCCAAGCAATATGAAGTCCTTATGCTATGAGTTGGTTCAGATTCACAATGAGCTACAGTGTAGGGTTTCAGAAGAGAGACTGGTGAGTTTGAACTGTCGACTTTGTGGCTCAAACAAACCTTGAAGTCCTGCGCTTATCTGTAATTTATTGGCCCAGTTGTGAGGTTTTTAGCTTCAAGATTTTATGACTGGCTTTAATTGTGGGATGAATGTGGAGGGAATCCTGAGTTATGGTGTTGTAAAAGAATATTAAAAGTTCCTTGGACTGCCAGAAAAACAAACAATTAATCTTGGAAGGAGTACAGCTAGAATGCTCCTTAGAAGCATGGATAGTGAGACTTCGTCTCTCACATTTTGGACATGTTGTCAAAAGGGACCAGACCCTGGAGAAGGACATCATGCTTGGAAAAATGAAGGAAGACCCCCAATGACATAGTGGCAATGGGCTCATACATAACAACAATTGTGAGGATGGCAAGGACCTGGCAGCGTTTCCTTCTGTTGTATATGAGCTATGAGTCAGAGCCGACTCAAAGACACCTTAACAGCAAAAACAATACACTGCCCAGAACTCAAATTCTAAAAAGAATAAGGGAATGGAATTGGCTAGGTTTTAGGGAATGTATCTCACAGTTCTATAACACTGTTACAGTTCCAAAGTTTTTGAAATTCCTGAACTTCTAAAACAAAATTTCCCTTAAAATGAAGACAAAGAGTTGAAATTTTTAAATAGGTAAGTACAAACTTTATATTGAAGGGTACTTACCATGAACACCAATTCAGCATAATCAATCAGGAAATGAAAGAGGTATATGATCAATGGAGTCTACAAGACAAAAACCAAACAAACAAAAGAATATTAAGTCAAACCATATTACTATCAGTTGGGGAGTCCAGGAAACTGCTAGACCAGACACAGATTGTTGATTAACAGCAAGAGTGGTCTATGCATTGGGGGGGGGGGGGTGCAGGATGAATTGGGGGAGGAGGAAAGAACCTGTTCTAGGACTAGGAACTTTAAATAAGCGACTTCCAGGAAAGATTGTTAACCCCATAGTACTCTGTCAGTGACGAACCAGGGGAAGGGGCTTTCTCAACCTGGGCGAATAAGATGCTCTGTAAAACAGCAGCACGGTGTGTCTGCCTGTCTCCTGGGTTTGGTGCCCAATTTCGCAAAATCAAATAAAAAAGTCTCACTCTTGCTAAAATGAGTAGATTGGATTTCTCGAGCCTTTCTTGGTAAGCACTCGTGATAACTCATCAGTGACCTCATAAACAAGTGGTTTGAGGCAGTATCCAGGTTATCAACGTTTTTCACAAATTTGAGTGCCCATTTGAGATCTTCTGCCTGCTTGGAGCAGCAGTCCTAGTGGAAAAGGAGACGCGTCCCACCTGATTTCAGAAGCCTGCTCTGCAAGGGTGATCGCTTCCCAGCAAGAGCCAGAAAAAGACTGTTAGAAGAGAATTTGTGTGAGAGAGACAAAGGACTAAGAACAGACTAACCCCAGTGATCAGGCAATCTGCATGGGCCAGGATGGGAAAATTGGACTGTTTTGCTTTGGTGGTTGGGCATTTTTAGGGGTTGACTGTGTGTGACTGAAATGCCATCTTGCATGTGAATCTCAGGGTGTACAAGAGTGCACAGGGTAGTAAGTGCAGAGTCCAGATCCACAGTTCCATCATCCCATGAGAGAAACGGCCAGTGACAGACACAGTAAATCTCGAGATGTGCAAGAAACTTCCACGAAACAGGGCTGTTGAGCACACAGAGAAATCAGACACCAAGACCAATTGAAAATGGAGACCGAAAATTCTAGGCCTAGGGAAGAAGGAAGAAAGGGAGCAGGAGACTCCACAGACAGAGACAGTCCTTTGGGGATAATGTTGAGGGCTTGGGGGGACAGTCCCCAAACCTGGGAAAAAGATAAACAAAAGAAAGGGTGCCCAAGAAACCTCCAGGAAATAAGGACGATTGAGCACACAAGGATTTTTGTTTTAACCAGTCTCAGGGTGTACATGAAACCTCCAAGATATAGGGGGTTGAGTGCACAGGGAATCAGGCTCTAGTTTGGTTAATAGGGGAGTAGAATCAGTTCAGAAGATGTTCCCCCTTAAATGAGAAAAGGGGAGCCTCAGTCAAATTCTTGGGAACCTCTGTCTTGCCTGCCACCCCCTTAAGCTACACGGCATAAAGAGATAGGAACTGAAAACAGTGAGGTGACTGAGACCAGAATAACTTCTTGTTGTTGTTGTTGTTGTTGTTGTTGTTAGGTGCCATCGAGTGGGTACTAACTCATAGCAACCCCATGCACAACAGAACAAAACACTGACTGGTCCTAGGCTAACTTCACAATTGTTGTCACACTTCAGCCCATTGATGCTGCCACTTTGCCAATCTATCTCGCTGGGGGTCTTCTTCTTTTTCTCTGACCCTCCACCTTACCAAACATGATATCCTTCTCCACCAAGTGGTCCCACCTGACAATATATCCAAAGTATGAGACCAAGTTTGGCCATCCTGGCCTCCAAGGAGCACTTTGGCTGCACTTCTTCCAACAAAAATCTGTTGTTTCTTTTGGAAGCCCAAGGCACTTTCAATATTCTCCTCCAACACCATAACTCAAAAGCATCAATTCTTCTACGGTCTTCCTTATT